AAGCTCTAAATTGAAGGGGTTAATACATGTTATTGTGGGAAAAATCAGCTTGAGTGAGTTTAGGGCTTGTGGATTTGAGAGTTGATTAAACTATGAATTGTGCTAGTACAGAGTTTCTTGCTTAAAGTTATGCTAGTTTTGATGGTTATTAAGTTGTATTGGTTCAACATAAAACAAGTTAGGAGTTTCTTTTTTAATGTACTTTGTACAGTTAAATCTAAAAGGTTTGATGATTACAAGGTCTACTCTTAAATCTAAATCAGTGGTGTAGTGACAGGTAGTATTTTAATCAGGCAAACATCCAGATAAATCAAGCTGCACCCAAAGGCAGATCCAGGGGGTATGTGGTAGTACATTTACCCATCTTTGATTCCTGCTCCACCCAAACTTTAAAACGAATTGCCTGGGACAGGCAGGGCATTTCTATTCAGGCAGTGCTGAGAGAGTCAATTGGCTCATTGTCTCTCTGATTTCTACTAATCTCTCTTCATTCCATGGGTGTTAATGACCCTCTCTGCTTTTTAATAGTCTTGATGTTCTGCTATTCAAAATATCTTTTCTTTGGTAATTTTGCTGTCTGTTGGCCATTCCTGGTAATGTCCCTCTTCTATTTCAGAGCCCTGAAGCCTGCTTTATTTAGCTCTAGCTAAAAATGTTAACTCATGTATGGTAATATTAACCCAGATGTAGGAATGACTGACAGTTAAGTATTGGAGGCACTGTTAAGATGCTCAAGGAGGCTAGATTTTGTTTTATGAATATGAATAAGAAATTTAAATTTAATTATAATGACTACAGGAATAATCAGAGTTTTTTTTTTTTTCACTACCAATATTTTGTCTGTTTTTGCCTAGTTGGGGGTTAAACTTTATATATAATCTAGTGAATGAACGCAAATTACAAAAGTTATTTTTTCACTTTAATCTTAAACTGAATAACAGAATGCTAGCCCCTAACATATTTGTAAAGCTTCTAGTTTCTCTTGACCTGGAAAAAGTGTCTTATGTTATATATGATGATGTGCCACACTATCTGCGCCCCTCTTTTCAAAATCCTAGATCCACCCATGGCTGTGCCTGTATAAAGTCAGGCTGCAATTGTTACAATTTATGGTCCTGAAAAAAGGTCAACCTGCAGCTTTATTAATGTTCCAGGAGAAAAAAGCTGTTGAGACTCTCTTCCTTGAAGAGAACATAGGGAGCTCATGATGGACTGGCTAATGGGCAATGACTTTGTGACTAACAGTGAAATGTTACTTTTGTCATCAGGTGTGACAGAAGAATTGCCATTACTATTGTTGATGGTAGTGTTGGAGTGATATTGTAGATGTAATGGAAATGTGTGAGGGGCAAGGATTATTCTTGTGGACAATGTTTTATTGGACCAACTGTATGGTTGCCATATAGACCATTGTTGTTATAATTTTCTTCTTGTCCAGGGGTACGTTATAAGTATGGATTCATTTTAAGAAGGCAATGACCAAAATGATATGTCCTGCATGACCCAAGATGGGGCAGAAATGTTTAACCTTTAGAAAAGTGGCACTTTTTTTCAATAAGGCAGCTAAAATAAATTGCAGATTTGATGCATGCTCAGCATTTTAATTTGATTTAGCATTCTTCTTTGATTCAGAGGGGTTAGTGAGGAGGAGGTAGATTGGCAGCCTCCATTCAACATCTTCCTTACTGCTTCACTGCACTCTCCACTTTCCTAGTCTACATTGCTGCTCTGAGTGGAGGAACATGAGAATGGTAAACCAAATCAAAACACAGAATATTAGTCTGACTTTATGAAGTAGACCTTTTGTGAAACTCTCCTATCCAAGGCTCCATGCACTACTTAAAAGCAACCAGCAAGGAGTAGAGAAGGTAAGCTTATTTTTTCCGCTTCCCTTTCTTTTTGCTTTATTATCATTTATTTTAAAACTAGCTGAGAAGCTGGAGTAATTTTATAAATGGGCTTCTTTGTTTTTAATTTTCAAAACTGCACCTGATCTTTTCTGGTTTTATGATGGACTACTAGAGAAGTCTTAAGAGATGTACAGTTGGAGCGTTCAACCCTTAACTAAGGAGAGAGGCTTCTGAAGCCGTAACAAATGGAGTGGGAAGTGAAGTGGACTTACCAAAAACAACCTAGAACAAAAAAATTATTTCAGTCTCATTTAATCATATACCATATCCTTGGTTGCAATCCCAGCAGTTCTCCAGTCATCCATAGAGTCTACCAAGGTAAATGGGGCCTGGCTGCTGTAGACAAAAAAGCAGCAAGGAGCAAGAAAGGAAGTCTGAAAGATTTTGTTTTTAAAACATTGGGCATGTGCCCGAATTCCTCCTTAGTCCCTTTGATAGGTCATTGTGCTAGCTTAACATAGGACAGTGGTGATTAAGGCCTTTGGAGGACCTGTGCTCCTTGGTGAATTCCACCATAAAAAGGTACTAGCATTTAAATATCTCCTTCTACTGGCAAAGTAGTATGAACAGCAAATGGTACAACAGGATTTTCTCTTCCTGGAACAAATGCAGATAGAAAAGGAAATGTTATGAATATGAAATGCAAGCCAGTCAGGTCTTTGTCTTCTGGCAATCTTTGAGGAGATTTGATTGCCTATAGGAGCAGTCTGCTCCTTGCCCAGGGAGGAATGGGGCACTCCTGCAAGTTGGGGATAGCCAGTAACCTTTCAAAAATGGCAAAAAATTCTTTAGAGAATTTGCCAAACTATACACAAGTAACAGATAGACATAAAGCTGGAAAACTTAAAAGGAATTGAACAGGGCTTTTGATGTCTGACTGTGCTAGTGTTACAGCCCATAGTATCAGGGGAAAAAGGCAAGCTAACATTGCCAGTGGATTAGTTTTAATCAAATAAACAGACATTTCTGCTTAATGCTGACAGGCTGAAATAGGATATTTGATCAAAAAAGAAACACTCAGCAGTTCAGTCTGTCTCCTTCAGCACTAAAATTGCAAAGCATCAAAATAAGTACAGTTGAATTTGGTTTAGAGGGGGCGCAGGGTGTTTATCATACAAAGCTGAGTGTGAGTCATCTGAGGCAAACACTGCAGTTTTCTCTTTTTGAGCCTCAGGAATAAAATGCCAAGAGTCTGATAAATATTGAATTAAGCTGCAGGGCAACTGTTCATACCTTTAATATGATCTGTTTCCTATGTTTTCCCCTGACCCACACTCTATCACAAAAACAGAATTGCTAATTAACAATTATTCTTTATGTTTCACTTCTGCTTCCGTGGGTAAGAAATGAAGTTCCCACATGTACCGTATACTTTAAAGAGATCTCTGACCTACTGCAGAGACCACAGCAAAACAAAAATGTAGCAGGAGCTGGAAAGTCAGAAACTTGCTGCAGAATCCTTGGCTTTTAAATAGGGTGAAAGTCACTTGCTGCTGGTCATGTTTGATTAAATGCTAAAATAAAGCTGGGGATGAAATTCATTCACACAAAGGTTAATCAGTGATTTTTCTATCTCATGTTCTGAGTCCTACTGAATGCACTCTGGATAAATGTTGAATGTTTTTTAAGGGCCTCAGGTGATTAAAACTTTTTTCTGGCTGAACAGTACAGATTTATGGTTGTGATGATGTAATTTATAAATTCAGGGCACATCCAAACTGAATCAGAAAAATATATAGTACTAGTAGCTTCCCCTTCTGGCCAAAAGGAGTAGCAGTCACTGAGAAGGAAAGCGTTATATGCTGATCAAGCTACCAAGTATTTCTGGAAAAGTGAAATATATGGGTAATGAGGATGTTTGGGATCACAGAATATTTATCCTAATTATCTTGCTGTCACTGAGGAAAGTGTAGTAGATGAGGGCACAATATATTCCAGGACAAAGTAAAAAGTGACATTTTTCTCCTCTATAGAACTGTTCCCTGTGTGTTTTCATAATCCTATCACCTCATGTTAGAAGCAGTATAATCTATATATAATTGTATTGTTTTTTAATATTCTTCAACCAGTTCAGACTTGATTTTTTTTTTTTAAATATAGCAATAAGAGTGGCAGGGGGGGTTGACATTTCTGCACTAGCTAAATCCAGAAACATGTATATAACAATAATCAAGGATCCTAGTTTTCTCTGATTTAAAAAAATCCCCAAATTTTCGGATGAAAAAAGTAACCCAAAATCCACACTTTTCCATGATTAAAATGAAACACTATTAATATATAAATATGTATATAGTGGTGTTTCATTTTAATAACAGAAACATTTGAATTTTGGGTTACTTTTAATAAGACCTTGTGGCATCCCAGGGTACCATGGTATGCTGGTTGAGAATTACCGATTTTTAGAGGGACAAAACATGTTTGTGAAAGCTACAGAAGTATCTTGTTGTATATACTGGATTTGAGCTGCATTTGTATATAAGATTCTCTGTGGGTATGTCAGATTGCTGTGTTTCTCAACCGTTTTAGACTCGAGGCACCCCTTAGAAAATGCCCACTCTTACCTTTTCACTTTTAAGAATGCTTTTTAACTCTCTGGATTTCTATTTGAAATCTCTGGAATTATTTTGAGTCATGTTTACATACTTAAGTGTTGACACATTGTGTGGCACTCCTGCAACACCCTTGAAAGGATCTCCAGTTGGCCACTTCATCCTGGTTGAGAATCACTGATGTACTGAGCCAGGGCATTAATACATGATGGCACGTTAAACCCTGTGCGCCGCAGCGCTACTGGGCCACTCGGGCTCAGGGTAGGGCAGGGCAAGTCAGACCTTCCTCTACCCCGCCCCCGTCCCCGCGCGCACCGGCAACTGCGGAGCGCGCATGCGCCTCGGTGAGGCCGGGACCGCTTTGCTCTTTGCCTCGTGGCGCTGTGGGGCGGGGCGGGGCGCGGCGCACTGTGCTGCGCATGCGCGGAGTGGGCCGCACCCGGAAGTTCCGGCGCGAGACGGAGCTGGCGAAGGGTCGGTGGGTCAGGCGCGAGGCTGAGACCCCGCAGGGGGAAGGGCGGGGCCGTTGGGTGACGTAGGACGTGGTGACGGATGCGGGGGCGGGGTCTTCCCTGCCATCCTCCCTAGTGTAGACGGGGCTCCCGGGCAGCGCCGCCTGGCCTGGCGCCCTGTCCCTCGGCGGAGCTCTGCGCTCCTTGCGGGCCAGGAAACTTTCTCCGTTCGCCAGGCAGGTGGAGGGGGGTTTTCATAGCGAGAGACTTCAAGCGTCTGGTGACGATGGAGCCCGACCTGCATTGGTGTACCGACCGCCAGGCCTTCCCAACCCGGAGGAACTGGGTTATTCCCTTTTTTTTTTTTTTTAAACTTCGTGGCGTTTACCAGACTCATATATTACACTTTAATTTATATGTTACCAAAAACCATGCTTTAAAAACAAATAACATAATGTAGTACTGTCAGCTTATACCAGACCTTGTGCATCCCCTGGCGCTTATGGGGGGGGCAGCTCCCCATGGCAGTATTTCCCCAGTGGAAAGAGGGTGCTGCCTTCTGCTAAGAGCAGCTGCACAGGTAACTTGCTTGCAAAACACCCTTCTCTGCACTGTGGACGCAAATGTGTGACAAAACAGTGTCACCTGGTTGTATTGAAAAGGTTGCTCATATACACTGGCTGGTTGGAGTCTCTGGGATTTGGTTGGAGCATCTCACATGTTTGTTTCTTTTAAAAACAAATAACATTTTCTCTCTTTCCTCTTAGGCTGGCTGCGAGATGATCCTGTTGGTGCTGAGCAAGAGGGTGATGAACGTGTCCTCGTCGCTGCGAAGGTTCCCTTGCTATCCTTTTTTAAAGACCTTTTTCGAAAGCTTCCACTCGAGTTCCATGTCTGGTTCAATTTTTCCATATGCCAAACCTTTTAATTCCGTGTTCCGGTATTGCACAAAGTGGGTATTGTCATCCGGTGGTTTGAAGAAAGGGATGCATTACCAAGTGACCTTGGAATCGCAGACCCAAGGACTTTCCGACAAGGAACAAAGACTTGTAGACAAACTTTACAGTGGATTAATCCAAGGGCATAGAGCTTGCTTGGCGGAGGCCATTACCCTTGTAGAGTCAACTCACAGCAGGAAAAAGGAGCTAGCTCAAGTGCTCCTTCAGAAGGTACTATCCTACCAAAGAGAACAAGAGCAGTTAAATAAAGGAAAACCACTAGCCTTTAGAGTGGGTCAGTCCTTTTTTGTCTGTCCAGTTACGATCTAATACTGTTCTTGTTTCTCGTTACTAGGATTTTAGTTTTTTCAGAAATTAAGGTTTATATTCTTATATCCTTGAGTTATCAGCGATGTGTAACCATCTCATGTTCAGTTTGATTCATGACAATAATTTATCTTTGATCTGTACTAGAAAATGCTCTTAAAGGGTGCATCCTGACAAGCGTGAATGTGTAGTTTGTGGTGTGTAAAACCCATTGGAGGTGCCACAAACTACATGTGGCGCACGTGCTCCCATTTGTTGTACTGCTAATTTGCAGTGTGACGGGGGGGGGGGTTTGACACCAGGAGATCCCAGGGTAAAAAAAAAACCCAAACCCCCCACAAAAAAGGGGTGTAGTGCATATGGCAGCAGCGTGCACCACCAGAAACAAAACCTGGCTGGCCGGAGCCACTCTGAATGCCAGCTAGGCTCCAACCTGCTGACTCAGCCCCACTGCTGCCCCACAAGTACCCCAGGTAAGGCTGCTGGGGCCAACACAGGCACTGGCCCCAATCTCCCCTACCCCACCCAGGACAATTTGTCATACGCCAGAGTACATGTGCAGGGGTGTACCTAGAGACAAATAGCAACATAAATATATGCCGCTGCAATTTGTCCCGTGAGAAAACACGTGCGCGATCATCAGGATGCACCTACAGAGACTTAAAAAATGAAAGTGTGGTTTTTGGAGAGGATAAAGATGAATTGATTAATAATAAGAATTTTGCAATCATCCACAGGTTAGATGTGGATAAACACTACCAACCGGCCTTTCTTTTTTCCCCCTCAGGGATAGGCATTTTTCTAGTTGCTTGGATCCCCAAAAGAGGAAAAAAATAAGATTCTTCCCCTATTTTATCATTACTTAAGACCCTTTCTAAAAACAGATCTACCTTTTATCTACAAACTGTCAGATGCTTGCCCTGTATCAAAAGGAAGGATGCACAACTACCACAAAACATGATGTGTGCAAGTACTAGGGGTTGGGTCTTTTGCCTTAAACATAGGGCAACAAGACAGATTTATTTTAAGAGTCCAGGGTTGAAGTCACCTAACCCCTGTTTTGAAGTAACAGCATTTAAAGACAGTGTTGTGCCTTTGCATCTAGTCTGAATCTTCTTGGTTGTCATTTGTGGAAATATTAAATAGCTTGTGTATTCCATGTATTACGTTTTTTAAAATTCTACGGCATAAAAGAGTATGGATAAACTTCTGGGGAGGGCAAAAGAGGCTGGACAAATCAAATTTGTTATGAATAGAGTGAGTACATGTTTGAGGAGTGGGTGATTCTTGAGTGGATTGATGTGATTTTGGAATTGAAGTATGTTATAACTCGTCATTCGAGGACTCCGTTTTTGGTATGCGTTACAGGTTGCCTTTGGTATGATGTAACAGGCAAATGAAACCCATCAATATATGTTCTGTGAGGGAGGATTAATTTTAGTTGTTGGTTACATATACAAACACCTTCCAATAGAGATTTTGTGTGTAGGGGGAGGATAGTAGAAAGAATAAGTAAATAACCAGCAGTGACGGCACATAGAATGCTCTGTAGCAAATGGTTGAAATTATTTCAAAGTGTTAATCATTTTAAATCGAACTATTTTCATATGGATTTGGGGAGACAAATGATTTCATCAAAGCAAAGCATTGGGGATTTTGTCTGCAGGATTGCCGTTAAGAAAGGAGCAGTAGGAGCTGTTTATATTCATTAAACTAGAGCGGGGTTTTTTCTCCCAATCTAGGATTGTCTGGTCCCCCTGGTGCTGGAAAATCGACATTCATAGAATGTTTTGGAAAAATGCTTACCGAAAGAGGACACACAGTATCTGTGCTGGCTGTGGACCCTTCCTCCAGTACAAGTGGCGGTGAGTATGTCTTAGATGGTTAGCTAGCTTTTCAGCTTGTAAGGTTGTCAATACCCAGAGCTTCTGCTGTTTGTGTTTTGTCAAATTTTGTCCCATGAAGGTGTAAGTAAAACTGTATTTTGTGCAATATTTGTTGGTTTTTCATGTATTCTGGAATTGTTGGTTTCTGTCCACATTTTTTCAGGACATTCAAAGCATCATTTTTCTTCCACTCCTGTGACATCTTTGAACAGCTCTCTTACCCGTCCCTTGTATGAACTTGCTGTCCTAGCTCTGTTTAGAAACTGGGCCTGCTTTCTTTTCTGTGAATTTTTTTTTTTTTTAAATGACAGTGCTATGCATATGGGCTGAAAGTGAATGCCAAGTAACTAATTTAGAGGCTGCCTCCTCCTCCTCCTTAATATACTTAGAACTCAGTCTCCCCCACAACCCAAACATACACAAGCCTGTTTTGCCTCAGATCTTAGAAAATGCACTACCAACTTTGAAAACAAAGTATTTAGCTTCTGCATATGTGCTTGATTTCAAGATTGGCTTTTCTGAATAGTAAGTGAAGATGTTTCATTGTCATTGAACTTGACTAATATGTGGGTCACCCATTTTGTAGCTTCACACTCTCCAAACCTAGATAGTCATTTGTCATTCTACATACATCCTGGGGCGGGCAAAATGTGGCCCACCAGGTCATTCTATCCAGCCTGCGGGGCCCCTAAAAATTTAGAAAATTAATATTTATCTGCCCCTGGCTGCCTGTCACGCAGCCCTCAATGGCTTGCCAAAACTCAGTAAGCGGCCCTCTCCCTGAGATAATTGCCCACCCCTGTCCTAGGCTGATTACGTCAAGAGGCCAGTATTCTTAATCAAGCTAGTAACTAACATTTTAATTCTTCTGCAGTGGATGGTTATACCTAAGCACATGTTGTGTTCTAGAAATTTGCTAAAATACTGCTAAAGGAGGGGATGTTATAGTATAGTGATGCAGAGAGCTTTTTTTCCCAACATTTGAGGGAATGGGCCTTGAATATGACCAGGAAATGTTTAACCTAATTGCACAACAGAGTAGGGTACCTGAGGCGGGTATTGCTGCTTTATGGACTGAGGAGTGTCTCTCTCTTTTTATGGAAAAGAAAACTAAAAAAACTTGAGCAACATTTATGATGCTATTGGCATTGAATTACAAAAAATGTCAAGAGGAGAGTTTCTTCAGGGTTGGCAGGACTTTCTCAGGACAGCCTGCTAGAAACTGAGACATAAAAAGCTCTCCTATTTTGGGGACAGTGGCGTAGAAAATAGAGTCTAATACCTCTTTGTGCACCCATGCTAGTGTCACCAAAAAAAAAGGATTTTGTAATTGCAGTGTCCTCTCTGCAGAAGAGGCACTTCTGATTTAAGGATGGCAGTCGGTAATTACTGGTTTGTTGTATGACATTCCAAGCCCCCTATCAACCAGAAGAGCCAAACAGGCAGTCGCTAGCTCAGAGCAGCTATGATAGCTGAGGAGTGAATGAGAATTTCCCAGAGGGATTTGCTTACATTATCAGTTATTCAAAATTAATCCGAGTACCTTGTTTTTTTTTAAATTGTTAATGTTAAATATTTAAGGGTCGCTCTTGGGCGATAAGACACGGATGACTGAATTGTCAAGGGATGCGAATGCTTACATCAGGCCATCTCCAACCCGGGGAACTTTAGGAGGTGTGACACGAACCACAAATGAAGCTATTCTGTTATGTGAGGGAGGAGGCTATGACATCATTCTTGTGGAAACAGTAGGTGAGTGATTTAAAACAAAACCCCAACAGAAAGTAAGCACTTTAATCCCTCTGCAATGTCCAGACCAGTTTTGAGACAACAGTTCTGCTTATTGTTTTTTACAACTTTTTTTTCTTTATCCATTTTGGTCCATTACTTCCATATATTGCCATTGACTTCACCCATTGGGGGCCAGGCTATTACGTTTCTTTTAACCTATACATTCTCACCTAACTCCTTAAAGTAGATTTCATCCTGCCTCTTGGTGCATCTGTGTTTAATGCTTTCCTTCTGAGGCAGACCAAGTGCGTTCTCTTCTTGGCTGTCATGGGAATGGCTGTGAAAAGCTGGTAATTAATTTTGGTTTTAATTTTTCAGGTGTAGGGCAATCAGAGTTTGCTGTTGCTGATATGGTTGATATGTTTGTATTGCTGCTACCACCAGCAGGAGGAGATGAATTGCAGGTATTTTTCAATTTATCCTTCTGAAATGCTAATTAACCTCAAAGACAAGTCTTAATTTTTGGTATGATATAATGCATGTGCGTTGTTTGTTTAACCAAATCTAGGTAGTTTACAAAGCAAGTTAGACTTGCTGGTATTGAAGTTGGCATCTTACCAAAACGTCCCACAGAATTTAGATCTGAATTCTTGAATTTTCAAGACACTAGGATTTCAGTTTTGGTTCATACCAGATAGATATGTGGCGATTCTTGAATTCTCGTGTGGTTAGAAGACAGCAGGA